CTTGCGAAATGCGGCTAAGGGATGCGAGCGATAGGGTTCAGAGGATGCTGCAGCGCTGCTTAGTGGGAGACGGCCACCTTTTCGTAAGGAGAGAAGTGGGGAATCCCAGGAGAGTCGTCTGCGGTAGGAACCGTCACATTGACGTCATAGCAGCGCTCCATGACGGTATTGCAGGAGGGCATCGACGGGTACAAGCTACATATGCCAAAATAAGTAGGCTGTACTACTGGGATGGGATGATGGACATGGTCGGAAAGTTCTGCCGATCTTGCGTACCCTGCGAGGAGAGATCCCGTTTAAGGCAAGGAGAGTCGTTGCATCCAAGGCTAGAGCGAGAGTTGGGGGTTGTAGTGCATTTCGATCTACTTTTCATGCCGCTTGGGGATCAGGGCTATAACTATATCTTCGATGTGTGCGATAACCTGTCTGGCTTCGTAGACGGGCGTGCTATTCGCACAAAGATCGGGCCAGTCTTGGTGAGCTGCATCGAGGAGTACTATCTGCGCTATCCTTTCGTAAGGGAATTCGTAATGGACAGGGGATCGGAGTTTACCTGCCAGGAGGTGTAAGAATTATTATCAAGGTATGGTGGAGTAACCAACTACACCACGGCCGCTCACCCCCAGGCAAATGCTCCCGTGGTGAGAGGACATAATACCATTACGAGCCTCCTGGCTAAGTAGACCGAAGGTAGGCCTAATCAATGGCCAAGGTACCTAAGGGCGGTGTTCTTTGTCGAGAACAGTACAGTAAAAAGATCCACCAAATACGCACCTGCAACGCTGTGGTATGGAAGGCACACCACCTTCCCTATGGAGAGTTTTCTTAAGACATGGAGGCGCCAGGATCTGGAAGTGAGCCTATCATTTAAAGAATTGCTCAATGTTCGGGCGCGACAGATAGGGGCGATAGAAGAAAGGATCCAGGAGGCGTCTGATCAGGTGGCGAGAAGCCATATGGATGATAAGGCTCGATGGGATCAGTCTGCGCAGGTGAGGAAAGTGCCCTTGGCAGTTGGGGACGTCGTGGTTCTCTACGATTTATCGCTGGAGAAGCAGTGGTCCAGAAAACTCGATAAGAGGTGGTTAGGTCCCTACGAAATCGTACGGGTCGGAGACTTCGGAGCGTACCAGATTCAGGAGCTAAATGAGATTGAGTGGAAGGATTGGGTATCTGGAACGCGATTGAAGAAATTTGTGGCGAGAGAAGAGGTAAGAGGGATGATCTGACTGCCTTTAGAATAGAAGCGATAGGGTGTGTAGGTCAGATAGGATGCATGCTGCATGAGTGTGGTCTGGTCTGAGCTTGCTTTGATTATCACCTGTTTGCTTACCCCAATGTGTGCGTGTTTTCTCCTTCGCCTGTTGTCTCCTTCGCCTGTTGTGCAGGTCTGACTTTACGAAGATAGCCATGCCAAGAGGAGGGAAGGGGACACGGCCGCCTCGGAAGCCGTTGGGCGCATCAGGAGGATATGAGCGGCATGGGCCTCGCCATCGGGAGAGCACTCCAGAGTACGATGGTGACGACATCGAGCTATTCCTGGAAAACTCCTGGGAGCATGCACGGCGTATGGGCTTGGACTGTGACCCAGGGGATTGAGAGGTTGATGGGAGTCGGCAAATTCGAGGAGCCCGTTGCGCGGATCCGTAGGGAGGCGACGACGAGGTTAGAGGTGGAGTTGAGGATGCAGAAGCTGCGACCCTGGCCTGTAGAACCTGATAACGGGCAGATCCGCCTGGAGATTGCGAATGCGTCGGAATTCATCCCCGCCTTTGAGCGGTTCATGCAGGGGCAAGGTATACCGAGAGACGATTGGATGCAGACACTACCACTCTGGACCAGGAAGGCGGAAAGACCACTGGCTAGGCAGGTCAGAGACATGGCCCGGGACTGGGAGAGTTGCAGGGCACATTTGAGAAAGGCCTTTCGACGGCCAGAGCCCTCTCAACCCAGAGTTGAGAGGCGTCAAAGGAGTCAGAGGCAGAGGGGCCCTGAGCCCAGGGAGGCGAGACCCTAGCTAGGAGAGAGCAGGAGTCAGAGCCCGAGGGTGAGGAGCGAGGAGCGTATCCTGAGTATGAACCGGAACCAGTGGAGTTTCATCGGTTTACCGATGGTGGACTGAGGAGGTCGCCAGCACGCACACAGGAGGAGCCGCCAACGTCTGAGGGGCTCTTGAGGGAGTTGGAGGCGCATTTGGACATCTCTCGGTGGAGAGCGTCGCCTCGGGGTGAGGAGCATGGAGAGCAGGCAGTGGCGGTGCCACGAGAGGAGGTGCCACAGGAGGAGATGCCACGAGAGAAGGTGTCACAGGAGGAGGTCCGGGATACTCAGCGAGAGAGAGGGCTGGGCGATGAGGGAAGACGTGCAGGGAAGGAAGTGATAGAGGTTGAGGAGGACAAGCCCCCTCAGATGCCAGCGGTGGGTTTGAGACTCGGGGATGCACCAGGGAGCACTCGCCAGGCAGGAGAGGGTTTGCAGGGAGAGGAGGCCCCATTGCCTTCATCCGAAAAGGCTCCTTCGCCAGAAGGAAGAGCAGAAAGAAGGAGAGAGAAGGCAGCTGTAAGGAGAGAGGCCTTGACCCTGATTGACAGACATCTAGCAGCTCATGCCCTGGAGCACCCAGACTTGGAGGAGCCAGCACCTGCAGAGTCGCGCCAGGAGCCGTGCCAGCCCGAGAAGGAGGTGGAGGCAGAGATCCCGAAGAGGGTCGACCTCCGCACGAGGGAGAGGGCGCCAGCTGGAGAAACAACTCAAGAAAAGAGGGCGAGAAGGACCAGGAGGATAGAAGAGATATGGCAAGAGAGGCAAAGGTTGGAGGCGGCGGGGGCACTTCCGGAGCAGCAACAGGAAAGGCAGAGATCAGAGGCAGCAGGAGCGCTCCCAGGTCAGTCACCGAGCGCGCCAGCTAAGGCCCCGGAAATCCCAGAGATGTGGAGGAACTTCTGGGAACAGAGAGGAGAGGAGCTTCCTTCGCCAATCAGAGCCGGGTTTGGGATAGCAAGAAAGGCGGAAGAAAGATTGGATCGCAAAATCAAGTTCCTGGCCAAGACAACTTTTGGCAGACACTTGTTATTGGAGAGCGATCTGGCGGGGAAGAAAACAAAGAAGGAAGGTCATGGAGAACGCCAGGAGGCTATCGAGGTGGAAATCCAGGAACTGAAGGCACTGGTGGTCAGTCAGGCAGCTATCATCGAGAGCCTGAGGCAGCAATCTCAGGGAAAGGTGGACAAGCCAGAGAGCAGCTGGCATGGAGAGCAGAGGCAGTCAGGACAGGGTTTGCCAGGACAGCTATCTGCAGCAGGGCCTCGTCGGGAGCCACCTATGGGGAGAGTTATCCTGGAGCCAGAGGAGGCGAGAGCCCATAGGGAGGCGGAGAGAGAGGCCTTCGAGTTCAGAGCCCCTACCGAGCTCACGACGCTGCCTCCAGCAGCGGCGGGCCTAGTGGTACATTTGGCAGTTGAGGAGGGGCTACCACCATCTAGCAGTGAGCCGGCTCAAGGCCCAGCAGAGGGATCCATGAGCGTGCTCCTTGAGGCAGTGCATACTATGCAAGAGGAGACGAGTTTGTTTTCACCTGAGCAGAGGATAGAGGAGCCTCTTGAGAGAGAGATGGGGATTGAGGCGTAGGGTGTCATCGAGGGCGGGCTCCAGAGGTTGGGCACGCCTGAGTATGAGCTATAGAAGATTGAGGAGCAGCCCATGGTGGTGCCAGGAGAGATGCTCGAGAGGAGACCTCAGAGGTTGGGCGCGCCTGAGTGCGTCCCAGTGACAGGGGATTTGAGGAGCAGACTGGGATCTTGGGCTACTGGATCTGGGTCTGGGGGACCGGTTTCTGGGATAGAGCAGCAGGAGGTTGTTAGTACTGCAGCCCCTCGATCAGAGCAGCACTGGGTTGTCAGCACTATGGTAGGATCTCCTTCATCGCCACATCCTCAGCCCAAGAAGAAGAAGTTCAGGAGGAAGGTTGATCAATTATGATTCTACTGCAAGGGGGGCGTGCATCAGGCTCTGGATTGTCTCGAGTTTCTTGAGGATAAGGCAATTGGGAAGGTCTCAAAGGCAGGGGGTAAGATGTACGATAGACAAGGTAGGATGGTAGAGAAGTCCGCAGATGGAATTAGGGCTCAGTTATATAGGCAAAACCAGGAAGAGATGAGGAAGTAGGGCTAGTTTGCCTATGTAATTGGTTGGATATCTTGTGAGGCATCAGCTTAGGCTCTGTGTGATACCCTCTCAGACTTAGAGGACCTTTTGACGATTGTTAATAGTCTAGATTTGAACTCTTGCGTTCCTACTGAGCTGGGATTTTGAGGATCAGGGTGATCTAGATGAGGCATGTACATATTTAGGTGGCCTACACCTTGACCTTTGAGAAACGGACCTGGCATATATTTTAGGGATAGTTGTCAGTGTGAGTTTGATGTGGCTTGAGTTGAGTGAGCTATGATTTGAGGACACTTTCTGTGTGAGACATTTTATTCCCTGAGTGTATATTATGATGAGGCTTTTTCAGGGACTATTCTTTATATGTGACGATCACTTATCTCTCTCACATGTGTGGTTATACTCTGATGTATGATGGGTTTGTGTGGACAATGTGTGAGAAACATGTCATTTGCCATGTGTATTGTGAATGTGATTGTGAGCAAACTGTCTACTCCTCGGTATACTTGTTTGATCTGCCCTTGGGCAAAAGATGAGGCAATGTATAAGGGGAGGCGGTGCAATTCGTATTTGTAAAAAGAGATGTGAAGATCTCAAAAATTCATTGTGAATGTTTTGTTGTTTAAATTGTGCAAAAGACCCAGGAGTTGGTCTCCTCATATGAATTGTATTATGGTTGGGACACCTCTGAATGAGAAGGTAGTCCATTGTTTGATTGAATGACTCATCTTTAGAAAGGGAAGATGTGTTGGATTCAGGTCATGGAAGAATCCATCCTAGTAAGAGAAGGATGGCTGAAAAAGACCTATTGAAGAGAAACCTCCTTTATATAAAAGGCAGTTAAATGAAAAATTATTCGAAGTGATAAAAGACTGACGAGAGGGACCAAAAATTTTGTTTGGTTATTGGTGGAATTTTTGGATGTCGCAAGTGGTCCATTTTGAGGGATGTCATCGAGATGTGTGACTTTCTTGCTCTGATCAAGCTGGGAGGTCACGGCCTTGTGAGTCAGGCGGTGATTTTGTTTTGTGATTATGGAGAGGTTGCCGTGCTCCCTCTGTGTTGTCCCACAGAGGGACTGGTAAATACCTTTATGTGCGACAGGTCTATGCGTAGTCCCGCAGTAGGCTTGTGTTGTTGCGACACACCGTCCGACCGCTTGTGCTAATCTTGGACATTTATAAGAGACCCAGCGAGGGGTATAGCTGGCATCACTAAGGCGCAACCCTTAGTGTTGGCCGTTGTTTGGCACAACCTGAGCAGAGGGTATGCGTCTGGCCAAGGGAGTAAAGACTTAAAGGGGAGTGAACACCTAGGAGGGTTTTACTCCTGCGGAGAGGCATGGGATAAGAGTCGAGTCATATGAGTCTTTTTGAGGAAGTCCTGATTGAATGTTTATCAGGAATAGCCTATCATAGCGCAACCCGCGAAGGCACTGCCACCGAAATACCAATGAGGTGGGTCGTAGATCTGGAATGATCACCCAGACTATGGTGGGCCAAGATAGAGACCTTGTCTGCCTGTTCTAGACTGCAGGGAGGTTTATGTGGAGATTTATGGGGTATGTTTACGTGTGCTTAATGTAAAGATTTTTTAAAGGATGGCGAGAGAATGCCTTCAAAGGTCTCGGTTAGGGCCCGCGCCCCTAGTCACGACCTTGGTTTCAGGGGAAGGGCTGGGGGCACACAACAAGGAGTCGGCGGTTGTCTAGGGCACAGGGAAGAGGACAGTGAGAGATCCAGTGGAACTTATGCTGTAGTACAGTGAGGAGTACCTCGACGTCCGAGTGTTGGGATGGCGGAAACCCATGTTGGAATCCTGGCAGCGTAAAGTTGTGTCTGGCATGGATTATTGGAGACCTCAACCCTGGGTTTGTCGGTTAATCGGATTGCTACCCTGCTCATAAGCATTTTTGGGGTTGTGGTTGAACTGATAACTTTTGATCTTGCGAAGCGACGGGGACGTCGCTTAATATGGTCCGGTAAGTTGTCATCGCGAATACCCTTACACGGGTATCCGCCCTGTTTTTTACAAGCGACAGAAAACAAGCTAAGTCTAAAAGTTCGAGTATGTTGCGCAAGGCGCAACGATGTCTGAAGGCTGCGGTGGCCAAGCACTTGGCCAGATTAGAGGGTGAATGGGCGCGCAAGTTGAGGCGCTCATGATTTTTCCCCTTTGTTTTGATTACAAATAGCAGACGTGGCGTGACTTTTGGTCGACGCAGGTCATTTCTGTTTGATTAAACTGACTAACCTATGAGCGTATAATTCTCTGGTTCTGCGGGGTACGGTGGACGGTTCACTGAGCCGGTGGGGAGGCACGCGGAATTCAGATGATGGGATCTGATGGATTCCGCCGGGTAAGGATGGCCACGGCGCGGTCGGGAAGTCAGCACGGCCTTTTGTGGTCGTGTGAGTGAGTACAGGTTAGGAAGTTGGTGTGGGGCGGTTCCTTGGCTGCAAAGGCCGAGGGCTACCTCTTTATTAGGCAACTCAGTCCTGCTGGTACCAGGCTTGGGCTTAGCCCTATAGGTTACAGCACCGGACTGGTACGCAGCAGACGCAGGGATCGAGGACAACAGTATGCGGCAAGGGAACGGAGGAGCGGGCCGAAAAGGCTTGAGGGGTTGATGGGCCTGCGGGACTATCCCCCTCGCCTTCTTACTGCCGCGGGGCCGGGCGTGGGGATGACGGGCAGGCGAAGAGGGGTGCAGAGGTCCCTGCCTCACTACCGTTTTGCTTTTTTTTATATATAAATATATGTATATATATATATATATATTTCTAATTTTATCTAGTATTATTAGTATCGTGCCTGTATGTGGACGCGAAAACACAGAGGGGACACTCACGAGCTGTGGAAATACAGAGCCCTTTCTGAATCCGGGTGACGAAACTTGGTTGCTGAGTGAAACCAAGTATCCTGAGTCGCCTGTTGACTCGGATACAGAGGAGAGTAGCACGGCCCCGACGCGCGGGCGGCGCGTATAAAGTTGGGRMGGGRCCGACTGTRAGAGGCTTGAAGGGCCGAATGCTGTCGRGCCACGYTGTGCTGAGGGAGACGGRTGGACAGTGGCAAGAGCAGGGGAGCGACGGGGAGCTGCGGAGGCAGAGGCCGACGGGAGTGCCAAGGTAGCGGAGCGAATGGGCATAGCGTASGGCATTGTACCAACAGCAGGCGACTGGGAAAAAGGGCAGRTGGCACTGCGGCGAATGAACCTRTCCGGGGTTCTGCCGCAGGTACATGCGRAGCGGATGGGCAAAACCCGGTGGGATCAGGCAACAGCAACGCTGCCGTGCYGACTACCTCGTCRGACTTGGGTATAGGGGCGAAAGACTAATCGAACCGTCTAGTAGTTGGTTCCYTCCGAAGTTTCCMTYAGAAACRGCTGGCGCGGTCRGACGGCGCTCTGCGAACGACTTGCRRACGAGCACTAAGGCTGCCRGTAGGATACTATCCGACTGTGGGTAGRAGTYGGARCGCTGGCACAKCAGGGCGACGGGTGCRGAGGCRKAGTGGCAAAAATRGAYGAATGAATCGGGGCGGGAKCYGGCGYCGGGTGCATGCGAGGAATGARAGAGACGAAGGGCGTCRGGCRGTAGGCSGGWRAGGCGCACACAAGGAAGGAAGAAAGAGCGGATGGATTTGGACGGGGTTTTGAGCCAGGTGCATGTGAAAGTTGGGATGGAGGAGTGACGAAGGGGGAGAAAGATGGCAGGTAGAAGATAGCGAAGCCCGCTCGATCCTTAACGAAATTGAGAGGGGGGAAGAGGCGATCCCGGGTTTTTTACCCCGCGCGGGTGTGTTGCTGATGTTAGTTTTAGTATTAGTAGAGTAGGAAAAAAGTTAGTACGAAAGGAGACTGCGTGAAGCTATGGCGGGGGTAGGGAAGGAGGCAAGAGGAAACGAGTATCTCCCTCGTTTCTAAACAGAATCAGGCAAGGGAGGCCATGATTTTGAGGTCTTGGGCCAAGGCGAGCTTAGTGGTAAGGGTAGTTTCGATGTTAGATTAGCAAAATTAGAGTTAGTAAGGGGAAGTGGTGCATGGACATGGAGGAGTGATGGGAAGAGAAGTCGAGAATTTCTCTCGATTCCTTATGAAATCGGGCAGATTAAAGAGTTAGCCGGACGTTTTGAGGGACAGCGAATCCGACGGGGGATTCATATCAAGGAGTTAGTAGCTCGATTTGGGGTTGTGGGATTCCGAGCTGCGCCCGAGGAGAGGGAAATAAAAGTAGAATGAACCTTCCCTTATTTTGGTGGAAGATTCATTCGGGTTTTTTTCTAACTGCTTCTGTGGGGGACGCTGCAGGCAGGGAGCGAGGTTGGAGACTTACCTGTTGACAGCTGCGTTGCTTGATGTGCCGATGCGGGTAGAGCTTTCCCCACTGCTCTGCGGGTGCAGCTGAAGGACAGTGTACCTGCCCACTTTCTAGCGGGAAGTTCATTCGGGCTGCTCGATCTAGGTGATGAGACGTGGGCCGCATGTGAAGAGGAGGT